ATTAGGCCCCTTTTATTTCTTAATTCCTGGAAGTGGTGGAGTGTGCTCAGCTCGCCTTGATGGCAGCAAGAATTCCAGTGATTTATGCTCCGAGAAGTGGAGGTGAATTTGTTGCCATGGCACTCTAAGGTGTCTCCAAAACCCACAGCTCCTGTCCGCTGAATAGGCTCCCAGCAGCACATCCTAATTGCTGTTGTGCAGCACCAAAACAAATGATCAGAGATTTCCACAAAGACTATAATCAAAGGAGCATCTCTTACTTTTTAATGTGTGCTGAATGGGTTCATTTGTAAGCTTATTACGACTTCAGAGAGAGATGCTGTTAGGACAATCATTAGGTGCCTGTGAAAATAGGAGGGTAAACCAGGACACATTCCAGAATAACCTCTACTGTAATATTTGTGCATTAAAAGTACCTTCCATACCAAGCAGCCATGTTCATTTTCCTGTTGCAAGTGCCATAAATTAAGGAATCCCCTCCCCAGAAAAGGTAAACTAGGCACGTTCAAAATAAGGTCATGGTCAGGTTAAAAAAAGACACCCAAAAACCCTAGATGTCTGGAAAGCAGCAAACTGACCAGCACTGATCTTTTGTATCTCGATAGCGCTTGTCACCCTAAGGGATGCCAAAGCACTTAGGGGCCAAATCTTGAAGTCTTTATTCCAATTGTACTCAATCTATACTCCTATTGGGTACAACAGAATTCTTTGCTTGCTGTCTGGGACCCTTCATTGTACATTACACCAGTGGTTGCGTTAGACATCTCTTTTAGGGGAAGGTGGAGAAGGGAACATTCAATAACTCATATATCTTAACATACCAAGATGAAGGGCCTAAATATATCAACTCCAGTTTATTTTCCTGGAAAACTTCTGAACCTGGGCGGTGGGCTTCAGTCATGGTTATCTATATCTATATATCTATTTTGACTTTCTTTCTTGAATAGAGTTAGAAATACCTGTAGTAAATCTTGTTGTGGAGAGGGGTTGTACCCTTGCCTAATTCAGGCCAGGTGGCTGTAATCAATTCCAGTTGTTTTTAAGACCACTGTCTCCTTGGCTTGTCATGGAGTAAGTTACAGGGGCCATTTACAGTGGCACTGAATCTTCTGTGCTTGAACACAATGGATTTTATGGTATATTTATTTGCTGGTTCATCTCCTACCAATCAAACTCAGTCAGTGCCACCTCAATCACCTGAATCATTCTTCATTTCTTATGTCATATCTTAATTCTAAATTATTATCCCCTCAGGGGAGGAAGCTTGTCTGTGTTTTGTGGGGCTCCCAGAACAGCTCTGGAGGAATAAATCTTACTAATACACTACTATTATTAATAATAAAGGGTATTTAGAACTTCAGAAAAGATAAATACCAAAAAATTCTGATAATGTTATTTTTGTAATGAATTCATTCTGCCTGTGTTCAGAATGATCAAACTCATCCATTTAAACATGAAGGTTTTTTTGATCCGTAGTTGTTTTATTACAAGGTTTTGGGACGGTCGCTAATCTTTGCATTTCAGACTTGTGTTTCTCTATTTTGCTTTAACATCAGTGTAGGCACCATCTAGAGTAGAGAGAGGGCATGTGCTTCACTTTTTATAAATAGTTTATGTACTGAGAGTTGTGTTTATTTGGTATTAAAAATTATTAAAAAGACTATTAGTCCTCCAAATAACTAACCAAAGCCCTGCCAAAGCTCTGTCTCCATCATTCTTGGCAATCTCTGCTGCTCTTCAGATCATAATTACAAATACATATCAATCCACTTCACTTTAAGTGTCCCATCATTGCTAATTCACTTGGTTCGCACTGGAATGGTGCTGACTGCAGGGAACTCAATTGGTTTTCATATGCAATGAATTTATTAGTTTCCGGCAGGCCTGGGTTTGAAGATCCCAGCCAAAATGTCTGTGTGCAACTGGAATCCTGGCACAATCTGTAGAAAGACCTACGACTTGTTGGGGGTATGTTCTGTTCCTGAAGCATGTGTATAATTCCCAGCAACAGTAATAGGAAGTTATACATGCATATCAAGGGGCGAATAGATCCCTTGGTTAGTGTGGCAAACGCACATCCTTTGCTCCTTAATCTGGAGAAGGGAATTGAAATTGCTCAGTATATGCCACGCTATGAATAGGAAGTTGGCATCTTACTACAGTGAGATATGTGTGATGATATTCAGAGCACTCCAACAACACGTAAAGAGCCAAAGATCTTTCTAAATAAGGCAATGTACGTGTTCTGTTTTTTCAGCTTTTTGTCTGATAGTTCTCCAAAGGGTAGGCAATCTGCTTTATGGCTCCAACTAGCAACTCCTTGGCTCCAAGGCATGTGCTGTGTATTGCATGCAGAACACTACTGCTCAACAATTGGGCTGAATCATCAGTTAATTGTTATTGAGGTGAAGGTTTCATTGTGGAGTGCTGACGGTGGGTCAGTTAAACTTGGGAGATGGTTTGGTTCTGTTTGTTCTGATTATGGTAGTGCAAATAGACTGGAGTTAGAGAAACTTTAGAGATGTCCCTCTTGTTCTTTTTTGGGATTTGGGAGGGACACGACCACAGCCCTGTGTTCGCATGAATATGTTTTTGGGTCTACACAGCTTTCCATCACAATAGGTATTTGTTTTTACCTCCTCCTGGTGAAACCATTAAAAACAAAGTGACCACCCTGTTCCATAGCACTGTTCTGTATTAAAGCAGGTAACAAGAGCATGGGGTCCCAAAGCCCCTACCAGAAAATGAGTCTGTTTATTGCGGCTTTTTCGGGGGAGGAGCACAGAGGGCATTAACAAGTTGTGCTAGGCAGAAGAGTCTGTGGCTCGTAGTGTACTCCCTTTTGATTGCCTGTTTGCCTTAAAAATCAATGATTTCCCCTCCCTCTGGCCTGAAAAGTATCAGGGAATTTAAGAGATTAAAATTCATGGTTTGTGGTGCACAAGGTTGCCACAGCAACTGCCCTATGTATTTTTTTTTTTTTTTGGATGGATTACTGCATCTTGCAAACAGTCATCAGCTCGGCAAGATACTGAGGCATTTACTCCAAACCAAAGAAGACTGAATCATTGGAAATTAGAGGGAAGGGGAGCAGAAGAGAGTGTCAAGGAGTCAGTCCCTATAAAAGTTAAGATCTGTTTAGGCTAACAGAAGAAGGGGAAGAGTGTTTGTGTGTGATGTCAAGCGCTCTAAGTTTTGAGAGTCCCTAGGAAGCACACAGAGCATTTCTGCACCAGAAGTACCTGGAATTATGATATGTCATGTCTTGTTGCCTTTAGAGCCGTTGGGTCAAATTCACTCCTGATGCAATTCTAGTAACTTGCACCCAGGGTGAATTTGGTCTGTTCTTGAAGGCCAACATTTTCTAACCTGGGTGCCCAAAGTTAGGATCTAAATCTATATTTAGATACCTAAATAGCCGTCTTCCATGAAAAGAAAGTGTTCTCCAGAAAATGTAATGAATGGGCCAGATTGTTTCTCAAGGAAATGACAGAAACATCAGTGGGCCTGGGGCTGGCGTCAGTGTGGTCTGAGGGAGTAGGGTGCTGTACTGTATGTCAGTATCCCTGAGTTCTGATCCTGATTCTACCATTAACCTGGCAAGACCTTTCCTCTCTCTCGGTCTCAGTTTGCTCATCAATAAAATGGGGATAATGATATTTATCTTCTTTTGCAAGGCACTTTGACAGAGTGGGAGTAGCCTAAGGCTGTAAGGTTCCCTGCAAGGGCTGAATTGGGGAGATAACTAATTAAGGACTGGGTGATTGGGGGAGGTTTAGGTTGGATATTAGGAAAAACTTTTTCACTAGGAGAGTGGTGAAGCACTGGAATGCATTACCTAGGGAGGTGGTGGAATCTCCTTCCTTTGAGGGTTTAAGGTCAGGCTGGACAAAGCCCTGGCTGCAATGATTTAGTGGAGGATTGTACTAGCTGACCTCCTGAGGTCCCTTCCAACCCTGATATTCTATGATTCTATGATTAACCAGTTAATAAGGGGATTCTGCTCATCAGTTAGGGATGGTTGAAAGTGGGTGGGGGGGAGGTGCGAGGAAAAGGAAGGGAAAAGAAACCCAGGATCTCAGAGGGGTGAGGTCTCCCCACTATCTCTCACCCTGTACCTAGGGAATAGGAATAGGGTGAAGCTTGGGGAAAGACTTGGACTGTGGGGATAGAAAACTGCACAAAAAAAAATTGTAAATAAAGCAAACTGTGGTGAACCTACATAGGTGTGAGCACTGCTTGCAAAGCGAGATGCAGGGTGTGGTAAAGCATACTCTGTGAAAAGTCAGGGCTTGTCTGGGATATTCCCCTTCTGGTGTAGGAGAAAGGCCAGAAAGGAAAGTCACCCAGAAGGCACAGCGGAGCGAGCACCATGGAAGAACTTGTGCACTGGATAGTTGAACAGCAAAAGGAGTTACAGAAAACTCTCCAGGAATTTCAACAGACCCAGCAGCAGGGGAGACCATCCTTGTTGTCCTGGCAAGTTGATTTTAGGCCAATCGCAGGTGCAATGACAGTTCTTGGAGAAAATGGTGTGCCCCCCAGTAAGGAATGATAACAGAATGATGGGCATGGGACAGTGCAAAATGAGCCCAACAGATGACCCCGATGCCTTTTTGTTAATGTTTAAGAAGGTGACTTCAGCAGTGGGCTGGGAGAAGAGGGTATTGGCCTTCTGATTGACTTCCTACCTCTGGAGAGAAGCGTAAGCTAATTATATGGCTGAGTATGATGCTGTAAAGGTCGCCATTTTCAGTGCTGCCAACCCCAAATGTTCAAAACTAATGTTAGGCTCCCGCAAAATCATGAGATTGGCTTTTAAATCATGAGATTATGTAAAATAATAGATCTGGTGTTCTTTGTATTTGCCTTCTGCTCTTTGAACCTTTAGGGTGCACTGCGGTCGCATTCTGAAGCTTTCTCCACAGCTGTGAGGGTTAGAAACATACTTTTTCTTTAAGAATGAAGACTGACATCATCACATTTCCATTTAATTGCAGGAGCTGGGGCTTTAAGAAAAACAATTATCAGGAGACTCATGACGAAATCATGAGAATTGGCAACACTGCATTTTAGATGGGATGGGTCTGTCTGAAGAACAATATAGGCAGAAGCTTCAAGCTGTAGAAGACCTACTGTAAATAGAGCACACTATGGTGAGCCTATGCAGAAATGCTTGTAAAGTGAGATGCAGGCTGTGGGAGCATGCTCTCTGACAACCACTTTGAGATCTTGGTGTGAAAAGTATTATGTAAGATTTTCGTAAGTATTGTTGTTGTTTATTAAACTCCATTCAACGCTTCCTAGCATAGTGCTTTGGAAACATAACGCAAAAATTATACATATTATTTATATTCCAGAGCTGCTGCTATTTATTACACACACCCCTAAGTGTTTCAACCCAGCCCCTACTTTCCCTTCCCCATGTTCCCTAATGATTCAGTCCAAATGATGGAACACTTGTGACCAGAGTTTCTGGGACAAGGCATACATGGTCACTTTGTTGCAGAATTCTGACTTGATTAACAGTAGAAAGACAGGAACCAGAAGAGACCCAGGACTGCTGAGCTGTTGCCCAGAATGCTGTGCTTGTGAAGGAAACAGTGAGAACGGCTTTAGTTGCAGCTCAGTTTAAATTAAAATCATAGGGGGATTGGGGTGGTGTTTAATATTTAAGAAGAGTCTATCCGGTTAATGTTTTTAGGCATCTGTGTGCTCCTAGGGACCTCACAAAATTAGCTGTGCAGAGCAGTTAAATGCCATCAGGCAGTGCAGCAACTTCACTTGGCTTCAGTGTTGCAAGGGGAGGCAGTTGTCACAGGAAACGGGCCTTTATTATAGTGACATTAGTATTTTAATGCAACTAAAGAGGAGCTAGATTGACTGTAATTTAGTATCTAGTTCCATGGCCTTGTGCAGTCTTCTCAACACTGCTCCATGGGGTCCAATTGTACTTACACAGTGCACTCTGGAATCTAATTGGATTTACATGCAGTAATGTTTTCATATCACAGTGATGACTGCTATGTAAGAGCCATAAAATTCCAGTGCAATTAGTTATTTATACAGTGGCTACAGTTACAGGATAATGAACGGGGCTGATGGCCCATGCAAGCGCCAATACTATCAAAATACCATATGGGTCACCTTTTTTTCGAAGCCTTCCTGTCAGGCAGAGTTAGTGAGGGTTTAAGATTAAACTGGGCCAGATCCACCAAAATATCTCCCCTTCCTTTTCCACCATAAAGATACTGACCTCTTGCAAACATCCAGAAGGGACATGACCCCTAGCTGCTGCCTGCCCCTCAAAGGGGCATGTGGACCTTGTGTGTGTATCCATTTCCCTACATCCTGCACAGACAGCACATATGGGGGGGAAGGACTGGCAACAGCTGGTTGAACTGATGATCTGCTGTATCAGGATGCCTTGTCACTACATGACCCAAAAGCCAATCACCTGGCCTTTAACCCTGCTCTATGAAGTGTCTAGGAATCTATAGTGTGGGAGTTGGGGGTTGGGGTTCAGGAGGAGTGTGGCAGGAGGCTCGGGGCAGGGGGTTGGGGTGTAGGAGGGGTGCGGGCTGTGGCAAGGGTTTAGGGGCCTCAGGGAAGGAGGTTGGGGTGCGGGGTGCAGGAGGGGTTCGGGGTGTGGGCTCTGGCCCGGCGCCGCTTACCTTGAGCGGCTCTGGAGTGGCAGCGGCACACAGCGGAGCTAAGACAGGCTCCTTGCCTGCCCTGGCCCCGCGCCACTCCCAGAAGCGGCCAGCACCACGTTCCTGTGGCCCCTGGGGGAGGGGGGGGCAGAGGGCTCCACGCGCTGCCCTTGCCTGCAGGTACCTCTCCTGAAGCGCCCATTGGCTGCGGTTCCCCAGCCCACTGTCCCCACCCCTGCCCACACACGGACACGGGGGCCGCAGGGACATGGTGCCAGCCGCGTCCAGGAGCAGCGCAGGGCCAGGCCAAGCAGGGAGCCTGCCTTAACCCTTCAGCGCCACGGCAGGTGGCAATCCCGTGGGCCGAATCCAAAGCCCTGACAGGCCAGATTCGGCCCACAGGCCATAGTTTGCCCACCTCTGCCTTAATCAAAGACCCTTCCAGGGAACTGAGCTCAAAGCAAAGGTTTGGGAATGAGGAGGAAGCGGATCAGGAAAACTTGCTGCAGTGGTGTGAGGAGTTGTGTGACATGATAAGGCAGTGTGTCGAATGTGTACGTGCTTACCAAGACGAGGCAGGGTGGCCTTGGGATCGAGCCTTCCAAACAAGGAGGCGTGGCATCATCCATAACTCTGACACTCCCTGTGTTTCTCCCAGAAACACTAATTAAATCTCTTCCTGTTTGAGTCTCAGGCCCGGTAGGGTGACCAGATGTCCTGATTTTATAGGGACAGTCCTGATTTTGGGGGCTTTTTCTTATATAGGCACCTATTACCCCGCACCACCGTCCCGATTTTTTACACTTGCTATCTGGTCACCCTAGGCCCTGTGGTTTTACACTTGCTATAATTTGCCTTCATGACTAAATCATAGTGATTAACCTGAAAGAGTCTGTTTCACAGGGACTTCCTGCCCTTCCAGACCACAGAGTGAAGGTGGAGCCTGCTCTTTTGTGTCATCTGTCACTTTCTTTCATCTCTAGTGCCACAACGCCTGCTGCTATCTACTGAAGCATCTCAGTTTTTCCTCTGTGTAGTATTGTAATTCCTTTAAAATATTGTGATTTAAGAAAATATAAAATTTCCCCTCCCACGCAGGCCTCTGAAGACTTACAGCGGTGTAATTATATGCATCCGCAGCAGGAATAGGAATCCTATCAGTCTCATTATTTTCTTAATAATAGGGTTATATAGCATAGCAAGATCTCCAAACTAAAAGTTAGAGCCATCTTCTCTGCCAAGCGGCACCTACCCCTGTACTTCTGGCAACACATGGAGTGAGAGTGTGAAGAAATATGCCACTCAAACGGGCAACATTAAGGATGGAGCTTCACAAGAAAAGAGAGAGAGTGTGTGTGAACCACTGAGGAACAGAGAGAGTGTGTGAAAGCAGAGGGAATAATGCAAAAGAATGTGAATATTAATTACATTTTAAAATGAATTTGCTTCAATCACATTGAGCCCCTTTTGTGTTCACTTTCCACAAGTATTAAATGATAGAGTTTTACTAGCAGAAACCTTCACAGGAGGCAAATCTCAAAGTCATGTACACAAGTATTTGTGGAAAACAGATTTTAAATTTGCACATCTGAGTATGCACCTTCATCCAGTCAGGGAACAGGAAATAGCCCTGTATGATTTATCTGGCCACTCCCAGCTAAACAGCCCAGCTTGGGTTTAGAAAATCTGTGATCAAGCCACAGACTAAAAACGATTTTGAAAAGATTAATTTGAATTACAATGATGCCTAGAGGACCCAACTGAGGATCAGGGTCTTATTGCAGTAGGTGCTAACCAAACAGTTTTATAAAAGGCAACCCCTCCCACAAAGCGGCCACAGTCTCAGATTGTGACCAGATTAAACAAATGGATGCAACAGGTGAGAGGGTGAGCAGACAAAGAGGAAAGTAACTAGACTGTTTTCATAACTGTAGTCTCAGCTCACCCCCACCTGTGCAAAAGATGTTTACTTATATTTGAACAATTAAGATATCAGATGAGTTGTGATCTGCTTCCAGATACTACTTGAGCAGAAATAAAAAGGTTAAATTCACTGAAGAAATTTAACTGTGAATTATTTGCACAGCTCTAGTATGTCAGTCTGAGTGTCTGCGTCTGTCTGACTAGGTCTATGTCTTTCTGCATACACTTGTTTTTATAAGGCCTTTTATTCAAGTATCTCAAAGCATTTAACAATAATTAGTAGTATCATTTATGCCCCTTTTATAGATGGTGAAACTGAGGTACAGAGAAGTGAAATAATTTGCCCAAGTACGCATGAAAAGTCATTTCCAGAATCAAGGCTAGACCCCAGGAATCCCAATCTGCTTCTCTAATAACTAGACCACACTTAATACAGAGACATTCTACAGCTGCTCCTCTGCCTCTTTCATTTTCCCAGTAAATGACCTGTAAAGTTACTGCAGATTAAAGTTTGCATAAATATCCTGTAAAATACTGAAATGCTGCTGTTGTTAAATCTAATACTGTAGTAGGGTGTGGGTGTGTGGGTGTGTATGTGTGTGTATAGATATATATAGATACGTAGATATGGTCTGTGGATATTTAAACCACTCCGAAGAAATTGGATGCTTTTCAGGGTGCTAAAACCTTTTCATTATTGCTAATGTGCACCAAATTAAGGACGCAATTAGACAAAGTGTATTCATCAGGATGGTATGTTTTTATAAATGGTTTATTCAACATAATTGTATTTTATTGACTGTTGCAGTAATTGAATATTTATTTCTTATAGGACAAGCTTGGCCAATAAAAGATACATGGAGTGCACTGCTCATTAGAGGTCAGAAAAGAAATCGTTCTTGAAGCCTCAAGAGCTACATAGGTGAAATTTTTAAATTACTCTTCTGCAATCCAATAGGCTTTCTCCAGCATCTATTATGTATGTGTCTGCTGTTCTTCCGAGAGGAATATTTCTGTTCTCATAAGGAGCTTCACGGGAGGTACGAACAGATTATAGTGTGTTTTCTTGGTGAGAGATTCAATAGTCATAGAGGCTGGATTCCCAAACTAAATCCAGCCCACTTCATGCTACTAAGGTGGCATAAATGGGCTGAAGCCAGGTAACAGAGAATTCCTATGTCAACGGGGAACTCCCTGCTGGTGCAGGTGTGCTGAATCCAGTCACTGTGCCTTTGGGCCTGCCTGCCTCCCTCCCTCCTCCAGATACACCCACACACCTGGGTAAAGGGGGTATGCCTGACCCGTTGTTGGGGTAGGGATATGTTGGAGCTACCCTATACTTCATCAGTCCTCCACTGATATAAAGTCCTTATCCTACCTTAGAGCTGCCTAGAAGCAACTCCAAGAGGCATCCAAGCCAGGGCTGGTTCTGGGAATTGGGGCACTGGCTCAGGAGAGGCACTGGCCCATAATGTCCAATTCCCTTTAAAGGCTAAACGGCAACAGGAACAGGCTTGGAATATTCATTCCTGAACAGGCTGTTACACTTCAATATTTGTAGTCTCATAACACCTAGAGGGCACAATCAGTATCAAGACACCATTGTGCTGGGTGCTGCACAAGCATATATGAAGGCAGAGGGCATACATGCTGCAGGGAGCTTATGATCTAAGGAGACAAGTGACACATGAAGAGTGGAGGACAGAGGGACTGATTTGTAGTTATATAGATACAACTGTAGTTTTTAAACGGAGTTCAAATATGTAAAATAGGTGTGAATTCTCAGGTACACCTTAAGCCATCAGTAATAGGCTAATTTTTATTGGAGTCAGAGCAGATGAGATTCTTGAGGAGGAATTTGAAAGGAGGGGAAGAGTGGCCTTATGGAACAGTTCAAGGAGGGTATTCATGCTTGAGGAAGGTACAGAGATGTCTGCACAAGATGGGTGCACAACTCACGGGACAATGTGATAAGAGATGAGAAGAGAAGCAGGGAGAAATCAAGTTCCGAAGGACCTTAAGATGAGTGCACATACTTGAATTTATTTGAAGTAGTGAAACAGAGGGCGCCAGTAGAGAGATTAATGAGTGGAATGATCTACTAAATGATCTGTGCACGTGTGTTTTGAATGGACTTGAGGGGACGATGTGGAAGTTACAGTAATCAAGGCTGAAGATGAGGAAGGCCTGAATAAGAATTCTGACGGGTTGGCAGATCTTAGAGATGTTGTGGAGGAAGAAATAGCCGGAAGATTTGGACGTGGCCTGGATCTTCTGGGCAAGAGAGAATCATAGAATCATAGAATAACAGAGTTGGAAGGGACCTCTGGAGGCCATCTAGTCCAACCCCCTGCCCAGAGCAGGACCAATCCCAACTAAATCATCCCAGCCAGAGCTTTGTCAAGCCTGACCTTAAAAACTTCTAAGGAAGGGGATTCCACCACCTCCCTAGGTAACGCATTCCCGTGTTTCACCACCCTCCTAGTGAAAAAGTTTTTCCTAATATCCAACCTAAACCTCCCTCACTGCAACTTGAGACCATTACTCCTTATCCTGTCATCTGCTGTCACTGAGAATAGTCTAGATCCATCCTCTTTGGATCCACCTTTCAGGTAGTTAAAAGCAGCTATCAAATCCCCCCTCATTCTTCTCTTCTGTAGACTAAACAATCCCAGTTCCCTCAGCCTCTCCTCATAACTCATGTGTTCCAGTCCCCTAATCATTTTTGTTGCCCTTCGCTGGACTCTCTCCAATTTCTCCACATCCTTCTTGTAGTGTGGGGCCCAAAACTGGACACAGTACTCCAGATGAGGCCTCACCAATGTCGAATAGAGGGGAACGATCACGTCCCTCGATCTGCTGTCAGTGCCCCTACTTATACACCCCAAAATGCCATTGGCCTTCTTGGCAACAAGGGCACACTGTTGACTCATATCCAGCTTCTCATCCACTGTCACCCCTAGGTCCTTCTCTGTAGAACTGCTGCCTAGCTATTCGGTCCCTAGTCTGTAGCGGTGCATTGGATTCTTCCGTCGAGAGCGCAAAGTCAAAGCTGAACACCAGACTACAGACATGAGTGATAGGGAGGATTGTGACAGTGAATGGGAGTGTGGAGGGAGATTTTCAGAGGAAGAGATAAGGAGCTGACTTTTGGCCATGCTGAAGTTTAAGGTGGTGGCTAGACATGCAAGAAGAGATGTGTGAGAGAGAGAGGGAGATGTGGAGCTGGAGGGAGGGAGATGGAACAAATTTCAGTATTTCAAATGCAGTGCATTTTTGTCTAAGGTTATTATAACACCTGTAGCACATCTCCTGGCTAGTCTGCTTCTTTGTGAGCTTCACCACCACATTGTAAGATACAATTCGTAGAGGGGGAGACAGGAAAAAAAAGTAGCATGCACAGAAAAGTAAAACACTTGGAAACCATGAATGAAGGCAAAAGTGTCATGTAAATGGGAGAGTTGGAGTTTGGACAAATTAAGGAAAGTTTACACTAACTTTTGGACTTCTGTCTGTTGCTTAATTAGAGGGTCATGTAATATGAACCCCTCTCCAACCCCGCAGAACTAAACCTGTTGTATATTTAGGACACTAAAGACATTTCTATGGGGTATAGTAAAACATGGGGCCAGATTCTGACTGCATTGGTGTAAATTTGGAATAATTCAAAATGCATTGTGTGTGATTAAAAAATTAATGACTTTCAGTGAGTCAGAACTACCCTCAGTAATTTAATATCAGTGATTTTATCTTAGGAACCTATAATCAATTATCTTCTACTAAAAGCCTCTGCTTCAATCAATATACAGTAGTTGTCGTTAAAACGTCAGCAGTTACCACATGGAGTGATCAGAAATCCCTCACTTACTAAAGTACAGCGCAGTACAGCAGATACCACTGTGTTGTAACTCTGGGTAATTCAGTGGTGTGTTCTCTGGTGACACAAACCAGTTGTACACACATCTCACCTGTCTGGATAAACCAGGATTATGGTTGATTTACATGGCTGGAGCATTCCAAGCAGACAAGGCACTCTGGAGTTTTTAATGGTGAGCTCTTTTCAGATTGGTATCTGTAATAAAGATTTGAAAGGGCTCTGTAAGTGAGAGGTTGAGGCTCTCTGCAAACTGCAGGTTGTAGAACTGCAACCTGAACCCACCTCTGATCCTTTCACAAATCTGTTCAGTGGGGTGATGGTGTCTGCATTGCATTGATCTCAAATGACAGACAGACATGATGGCTCTGATATATTCTGTTCATGGCTTCACCAACAGAGACCTTGCATTGTTGCTGCTGATTTGTATGTGTTTGAACATGAGTTGAAGGATTTTTTGAATTTTTAAAGTCACACTGTGTCTGTTCCCCATCTTGCAGCAGTGCCAAGTTGGCCCTCTTGTTTTTTGTTGTTTTGCTTTGTCTGTAAAGCCAGGTGGAATTGAGTACTTGCAGAGGTGAGTTCAGAACCCAGACTTGGCATCAGCTCTGAGGGTATTGGCTGCCTTAGTCAAACTAGAAAATAACCACCTGTCAGAGCTCAGTCACTAAACATTTTTGCTGTCGTTGGCTGACTTCATGTGACAGCCGTCCCTGGCAGTCATGTTTTCAAGTCTTGAATACTCATTAGATATGGAGTCTGGCTGCCCTACTCAGCAACAAATGCTATCGCATGCAGAACAGGCATAAATATATTAGGAGCAAGGTATGGAATTGTCCGTTTAGGTTTAAAAGAAGAATAAGCTAGATCCTGGCTGTAATAAATCAGCAGATCTCTGAAGAATTCACTTCTTGGGCAGTAGGTAAATATAGATGGGGAAAGTGAGACAGGGAGGTGGTGTGGCTTATGCAAGTCTATTCAACATGTCAATATTAGAACTGGCATTAGACTCAGGAGTTCCTGGTTCCAGTCCTGTGCTTAGACCACTAGGCCGTGCTTCTGATGGGGTCTGTGCTGTGACAGAGATGTTTTAAAGTAGAGTGGCTGTGGCTACAATACAGCTAGGTTTGATATCCCTCTTATCTCTTTTTCCTCTGGAGTCATCATAATTTAGAGGACATAGGTAGGCATTGAACTTGCAGGGTATTAAAGGGTTCCCTGGTAATTTTCAGGGCCTGCATGATGTGATGATGATTCTTCATAACTTGTGTCACAGCATCATAACTTTGTGTTGTGAAGTATACTCCAGGGTGCCATTCAGTCTGGGGGCTGCTGAAGCACCAATGTCCTGTGGCAGGATAGCAAATCTGTCTAATCTATCCCTCATGTGGCCCTTACCACCATAATATCGGAGTACCTAGTTCAAGAGAATTGAAAGCTTACCTTCCTTCCTCATGAACCTAAGAATTCCCCTACTACCTTTCCTCCTACACTGCCCAAGAACACCTCTTCCCATGATATCCGGTGTAAGGGCTCTAACTCCCCTGGGAATCTTAAACCTCACCCCTGCAACCTTAGATGACCCACATGGACAGCTATCTTTGTCCCTGCCCCCTCCCCTCCCACACACACAAACACACACACACTTGTTCTCGGGATTAAGCCATTATTATGCTAGGTGGTAAAACATCTCCATGGTCCTGAGGGGAGCATTGTTGATATTAATAACTGGGTAGATGTTCGCATCCCCTGGCACAGATTGGTACGGTACTTTCAGTTTTCCCGTCAGTGTGGAATTGGATAAATACTCCTCTGTCAATGTCATGAAATGCATCCATAAGGACAGCCAGAAAAGAGATGGAAAAGAGTTTGGGAGCCAGCATGCAATCTTGTTTAGTGCCACTGGTGACTGGAAAGGGGTCCGATATCTCACCATTTCCACTACTCTGGCCATCATCCCACCACGGACAGACCGAATGGCAGAAATAACATTTCGCAGAGCATCCAAAGATGCACAATAGAGTCCAGAGTCCCTCACAATTCACAAAGTCAAAAGCTTTAGCTAAGTCAATGAACCCCACGTTGAAGTTTTGCTACCTAGGGAATATGTGGTCACAGAATGCTACAATTGATGAGATTACCAATTACACAGCTACGGCCCAGCTCTGCATTTGGAATGCTGTCACACCTCCTATGGAATGGTAGGGGCGTTAAAATAAGTACTAAGCTAAATGTCTATCAGGCAGTCATGCTTACAACACGTTGCCACCACATTAGGAAACTTGATCAGTTCCATGTGCACTGTCTTTGGTCTGTTTGCAGGGTCAAATGATAGAACAAGACTGGCAATATCTAAATCCTTAATTGTTGTTGGATGTCTGGCATCCAAAGCATGTTCATAAAAGCTCAGCTAGGTTGGTCTGGATCTCATTCCTATGGCTGACTCAAGAATACCTAAGGCCATATTTCCTGGTCAGCTAAAGTAAGGCGCCTGGTCTCGTGGTAGCCGGTACAAACAATATAAAGACACACTGAAGTCAAACTTGAAAGCGTCTCAAGTTGACCCAAGCAACTGAGAAGCAACAGCCCATGACAGAACAAGATGGCATCAGGTCTCCATTAACGGCTTTGAAGCAAGGCCCATTAGCGCTTTATGGATAGCACAATGCAAAGAATACAACAGCCTGCAGCGGACGCAGGCAATCTTGTCTGTCCCACACGTAACTGTGTTCGCAGTTCTTGCGCTGCGTATACGTGTTCACCTATAGCAGCTGCTGCATCCTTGTATGGCACAACTGATGTGAGGCTCTGTCAAGTCATTGTTGGGTGGAAGAGTCACTTTTCATAGCAGTCAGTAGATCAGTCTTTTAAGAAAAACATAGCCCCTGATTTTCAGGGCCCCCACAGCTTCTGTGTGTTGCTCAAGCAGCACAAAGAGACTATAAAGCTAACTTAACTAGTCTCCTGAAGATTCTCTCCCTGTAGGGGAAATCCCAGGGTGGTACAGAGCCACATGCATAGCAGGAATCCATAGCACCTTTGCTTTTTCAGGCATGCACGTGTGTATGTATATACGTACGTGTGAGAGTATGCTGCGGAAGCCCCTGTTCTACTACAAAGACACAGGAAGGGACTAGTTTAATTTTTTTAAGTGGTCAGATGCTGTGCAGCAAACAAAAACACTGTGAACTCTGTTGTTTACCTGAGGCAGCCCCTTGCTGGGAGAGCAGCCCGTCAAGGGCTTCTCTGAGCAGCTTTGCTATAGCAAATCAGTTACCATGGTCACGGAGGGAAGGACCATGGTGTGACAATACAGCAGCTTCAAGTTGTGTGGATTAGTAAAAACAACGAGGGAGCGAAAGGACCGGATTTATCGGGGTGCTCGGTGATGTACCCACCTATGTGGAGACACAGTCACCTTGTCACACTGTAAGACACTGGTCCCCAAACTGTGGGGCATGCCCCCCTGTGAGAAATGTTCAGGGGACACAATGAGGCCAGCCGCTGGGGGAGCAGGAAGGGAGCCCCACCCAGCCCTGCTCTGCCCCCAGCTCTGCTCCGACCCAGCCACAGCTTGGGCCCCAGCCATGGCCCTGCTCCCAGCCCTGACCATGGGCTGCGCTCCCAGCCCAGGTTCCAACCATGGCCCCCTCCTCACCATGGCTCCCGACTGCGGTTCCTGGTGGGTGGGGAGGTAGACAGGTTCCATTACATATTTGGGGATCACTTCTGTAAGCTCTTTGGGGCAGGCATGGTCTTCCTCTGTGTTCTAACAGCATAAGGGAGCCCTGGTTGGGCCTCTAGGTGCTGCAGTGTAAATGCTAAATTGCTGCCAGGGGAGCTTGCAATCTACTTCACACATGGAGTTGCACAACCAATTCAGCTGCGTTTGTATTTTCCTTTACGAACAAATCCTGCCACATCTGTATCCGTGGGCTGTTCCTGCAATAGGACTGTGCAGGATAGCGTGTGGGGCACCAGGACTTCAGTGGAACTATGGCAATTTACGCTAACAGAGAATAAGGCCCTCTGCTCCCAGCCTGAGTAAATAGGCTGTAGGAAAGAATCAGTGGATGCCAGATCAGTTACTGCTGATCTGTGAATCCTGCAGGCTGATCCTCCTAGTCATGGAGCTAAAATCCCCACTCTCACTTCTCCTTTAGCTTCCAAAATCTGCCTGGAACATTTCTTCATCCCTGTTGCCTTTCCTCTGAAGAATGAGCCTGTACAGAATGGGGCTTCATGGGATACAGGCATTGTAAACCCTTTGAGTGGGCACCGCGCTCTCTGTGCTCCACTTCCATATGGTTGTGTTGAAGTCACCGGAGTGATGCGATTTATGCCTGAGTGGGATATGGCTGAGGATTTGCTGGTTAGTGCAGGATGCTTAGGCCATGTAGTCAAATGTGCACAGTGCCCCACATATTGGTAGGGAGTCTGGCTGGACAAAGGGCTGAAGGGCACAAGGATTATTTGTGTTGCTCTGCTTTATGAGCAAGGGATTGTTTCAATCTGTTGCAATCTTTACCTTCTGTCCCCCATTCCAGTCCCCACACTCTGGGGAGAATATGCCGGATATTAGCAGTGATCATTACCTCCTATTATCCTGTATCATGATACCTTGTTCAGCTAAGAAATGAGCCCTTCTGTGTAATGAACTCCATAGGGCCTTGGGGAAATAGAAGGGGAAACTGGCTTATGTCGCTCAGGTAACAGGAGTATGCACTAAGGAAGCATTGTTGTTTTGCAGGAATAATTCGATCGAGCAGCCTGGAGACCATGGAGGGGGATTGTCTGAGCTGCATGAAGTACCTGATGTTTGTTTTCAATTTCTTCATATTTGTAAGTGTTCTGGAAATCTCTACCCCTGCGTGCTCTCTGTCTCCCACCGCACCCCATCTCTAAGTTTCTGTCAGTCTCTAACTCCTTGGTGTTCCCCTTAGATGAGCTGACAGGATCTGCTGTGCTTTGGCAAAGTTGCCATGATGCAGAAAGATCCCTTCAGCTTTGTATTAACCCTGACTTAAAAGTGTACAGCTCCAGGTTCAGCTAGCCAGCGCAGAGTTTGACTCAGCTGGCAGTGAGCCCGTGGAGAGGATACTACTGCTAGCAGCTAACAAGGCCGATGTTTGTAGCACCTAAGGAATAAGGTTCTAGTCCAGGCTGGTGTAATCACTGGCTGTTTCTTCCCATGTAGGGGAAGCACAATAGCTGTTGAGGGAGGGATTTCTTTCCCTTCCCCGCTGGAACCCTCTCCTGTACATCTAGGGAGTCAGGCTCTGCACAGAGATGAGGACTAGGGTGTGTGACTTTAGGCAGGGAATATACAGCTGGCACAGGTGACATGGTAATCTTAAGAAACAAAGACGCTGCTTGCTGTACGTGTCCCCAGTAATGGGAAAATGAGGGGAAAGAGCTGTGGAGACTGCACTGTTTGTAAGCAGAGTCGCATGCTTTACAGAGAACGTTTGCTGTGGAGCAAGAGCACTCATAGGGAACTTCTTTGGACAAAATCTGCTGAAGAATCCAGTCTATCATCGGACTATTAACTCTCTGCTCTTCTCTTCTCCTCTCTCTCCCATGGTAGCTGGGAGGGGCCTGCCTGCTGGGCATTGGGATCTGGGTCATTGTAGATCCTACAGGATTTCGAGAGATTGTGGCTGCCAACCCTCTGCTCTTCACGGGGGCGTACATCATGCTGGCCATGGGAGCAATGCTGTTCCTGCTGGGCTTTCTCGGCTGCTGTGGTGCTGTCCGTGAGAACAAATGCCTCCTGCTTTTTGTAAGTGTCCCAGCATTTCCTCTGTCATTCTAGTGTCCTCGGAGAGCATGGGCTATGGTGTTTTGTTGGGGAGAGTTATCGTGTGATACTGGATCCATGTGACCATGTCTCATTGCAGCCTTTCTTCTGTTACATAGTTAGTAGTGTTTAAAGCACTTTAGTATACAGTCAGAAATGCAGACAGCTTGATTCTCCCCTGCACCCAGTCTCTGTGTGGGCCTAGTGGAAATGGGGGCCTGACTCTCTGTTGCCCAACTCTGGCATAAGTTAAAGGTGCAGGGGCCAGTTTTAACTTCTGTCACTGACACACAGTCCCTCAAGAACCTTATGCTAGTTGCGAATCGGGTGTAGTGGAGTCTCACTCTACCACAGCCCTCCCTTTCCTTGCAACACCCTCTTCCTTCCTTTCCCCAGAAGGGAAGTACAGGAGATGCCTCTGCCACTTTGTGCCAGCAGAGATTTTCCCTGTCCACAGGGGGAATTCTCCCATGTGAATCACTAAATGCCACATGACAAAATCCCAAATCTTCCGAGTGGAGGAGGAAGTCCTGTCACCACTATCACAAAAGGAAATAAGCAAAATTAGTTGTTGGTCATTTAGAACATGGCTGTCTCTGGGGTTTGTTAGACTTGGGCACCGTTGGACCTGCAGGGGCAGTAAGTTCCAAAGAGCAGGGCCCCCAGCTGAGAAAGCAGTTCTGCCAGTTCCAGTGCATTCTGCTCCAGTGACCATCAGCACGAGCATCCCTGCTAATCTTAATTGCTGTGATAGGATGTGAGGTAAAAAGCAGGCTTTCTAATAAACAGGTTCCACACTTTAATGATTGTCCCCAACACCTTAAATTGCACCTGGCAGCAAACAGGGAGTGTGGACTGGAGTTTTGTGCGTATAGCATCAGGCCCAACTGAGGGCGCATGTCATTTTACACTTGTGTGTTAAGGACATATGCCTGTTTATCCTGAATGCACATTCATATTGTACCAAAACTGTGGCCACCAAGCATTTTTAAGACCACTATGATCTCTCAGAATTTCAGGGCAGCAGCAGAGGAAGAAGTCTCATCTTCCCACACCTACCGCTTGAGCTAGAGGAGAATCTCCTTCAGCTTTCTACAGTAATAGGGCCCATCACACACAGCTGAGGAGTTTTGATTCCTTCTAGCAGAAGGCCGTAGTATGAGCACAGCCTTATACGAGCCAAATCATTACAACACATACTCATGCACGTAGAACCACAGATTGCCCCCGCCCATTCCCTTCTGATGTAGAACATGAACATTTTCCTTACTCTGGGCATAGGAATCATTAAGCAGCCCTTACCAGTATTTTACAAGCCATATAAGTAGATACTGGGCAAGTCATGAACTTGTGGGTAGATTTCCTACTGGGCCATTTCAAATAAAGAGAACGTGCAGAGTAGAGTATCTTAACAGGGTCCTATCAGTTGGTATAAACCTCCCAGCTCAGATCTGCTTGGTGGACTTTCCATTGCATCTTTAGATGGGTGGCTGATCCTATATACATCCTTCTCCACTTCTTACAAGTCCCAGATTTAAAAGTTTCATTGACCAATTTTTCCTTGAATTACAGGGTTAAACCTTAAACTCTGTGTGGGCATCATGCACTGTTTAGAAACTCTTAACCACTAAAATAACCATTTTTGACTTCTGCCGCAAGAACTGATCCTGCAGGGTTTCCTGCCATTATCTCTTACTGGAAAACATTCCCAGTTACGTGACTGAACATAGAGCTCTGTTGTTTTGTTTCTTGTTTTTATCAAGTACAACCTTCTGTTTCTCCCTCGGAGTTTGTTGGTTGTTTTTAAACCTTGGTTTTTCAGTGTGTTTTGTAATCATATCTTACTCACAGAGCCTTGCAAAAGCACCAGCAGCTGCTGCCCCACAGCACAATTTTACCAGAACACGAACATTAAACTGGCTGAAGGAGAAGCTGGCAGTATCCCTGGAGATCTGACAGACTCCACTGAGCTAAATTCTCCTTTCCTTTCCTTCCCCACCTCTTCCCAAATTCCTCCTTTGATGATAGCACATGCTTCCCTTCTGGGAGTCAACTGGTTTGAGCCTTCCCTCACTCACCCCCGGGGAAGACCAGGAATAAATCCATTGAAGTCAATGGTGCAACACCAGTATGAACTTGATGTAATGGAGTGGAGAATGAGGCCCCATAAGTATGAGACTAATTGAAATCCACTCCTTATGAGAGTTAGAACTTCAGTCATGTGAGGAGATATCTTGGGCTATTTTTTGGTATATGAATGGTGCAATCTCTCTTTAATTTAGGACTTCCAGGCTGACCTCAATGGAGTTGCACCAAGCCTGAATATTGTCCCTAGTGTTCTAGTTATATTGCAGTGCAGGCAATTTCATGGTTATTACTTTTCTGCTTCTCAAAGATAGTTCTAAGCCTGGCTGCTTTATTTATTTACTTTTATTATTATTTTATTTTACACTGGGAATCTGAAAAATAGATGGGGTGGAAGTAACATAGGGCTATGCAGCAGGGATAGTTAAGTGTAACCATCTAGTGAGGAATTAGCATGATCCCTTGTTCAAGGCAATCCAGGATGTTTTGGTAGCAAAGTCAAATTGCTGTTTAAGAGGATGTGGTGATGTCCCATTCCCTATTATCCCAAGTCCACTGGCAATAAAACACCTGTTTAAGTGGGTATGGTGAGGTCCATATGGTATCAGATGCATTCCCAGCATGTACTTTGTTACAGACCACACCAGATGCACTTGGAAAATTTGAAAGTGTGGGAACCAAGAGTCTGGAGGGAGTTAGGCTTTAGTTGATGGAAATGCAAATAATCTGTAAATTTTTCCTTGTGAGGCTGGAATATCCATGCAGGAGTTGGGGAGTGGTGTGGTTCCCAAGGTAGTAGGATCGGGGGAAGGTGCTTGATAAAATCAAGTCCATGTACAAGTTGTTCAAAAATTGATGAGTCAGAGCTGCCTGAGAGAGATTTCACATTGATACATAATGCATGTCTGAAGCTTTTAGCTCAAATGTACACAGGAGGCAAGAGGGTCACAGAGACAAGGACAAGTAAGGGAGATGCTTCTGCAGACAGGTTCTAGATTCTGGCCATTGTTTTTGCAGAACCTTTTGTTTTTCTTGGTGCTGTTCTATTTTGGTAAGAAACCTCACTGTTGTATTCAACCTGTTGCCGCAAGCACCAGGCTGCCAAGTGCTTCCGGCCACCTCAGGCTATCCCAGCATTGGACACACAAAGCAGCACACTCAGGCCTTCTGCACATGAGAAACAAACTAATCTGTGGAATGTTCTAGAGCTCTTAGCTACTGCTGCCCAAACTTCTCAGAGAGAATGTGTGTCTTACACAAGCACATGAACACACTTCAATTTTTTATGATTTTTTTTTTTTTTTGCTTGTGAATAACATTTCCCCATTGGTCCAAATTCAGCCCTGGCATAAGTGGTGCAACTTCTGTTGACTCCAGCTGGGTGGATTTAGCAAAATGTGGGTATATATACATGCATAATTTTTAAGAAAGGGAAGAATGATATATCATCAGTCCCTCTTTCTCTCTGCTCCTGCTCCCAGCCCCTGAAATTGTCACCCTGAGGTTTGTGTCCTTTGAGAGAGAGTTGCTTTCTCTTTCAGGTGACTGGGGACTGTATTGCTGAAATTCTGGCAGAGCTAAAATGTCAACTGGCAGTTGAGATGCAGTGATAAGAGATTCAAACATGCCAATATGTCAAAATCAAAAGTGTTTATGGAAACGTATGACTTTAATTGGGAAGATTTCTCAGGTGGGATTTCTGGTCAAAACAAAATAGAGACTCACCACAGAATAGCCAACAACAAGCTGGCTTGGGTGGTCATCTGGGATGTAAATCATGCAGAGCAGGGATTTGAACCGGAGACTCCCACTGGGCTATGGGTTGTTCTGGGGTGAGTGGAGTGGCTGTTCTCTCTTAGTTTTCACATACAAATATTTAAAAAACTCTCCTTTTTGTTCTGATGCGAACAAAAACAAAATTCAAAACCTCAATTTTTTTTGCAAAATAGAATTCTTGTTTTCTTCCCCTAACAATCACTGTTGACATTTTTACAGTGAATATGGAAAGTCCAAGAGGTCTGCACTGTTCAAGTGCAAGCCAGTTTGGGGATGATAACTGATGCATTACGATCGCTTAGATAATCTATGAGCAGCTGCACCATTGCTATGCTGGCCCTGCATTAGTGTTTGGGTGAAAGTGTATCTGCCAGTAATCAATAAACGAACATGTAATTAATCCAACAACTCTGCTAATCACTGATCACCTTAGACGAAAAACATTGGAGATCCTTTGATGGATGGTGCTGTAGATTTGCATAGTATCTTTCATTCAAATCACTACCTCTCTGCCCTCCTCTTGTGAAACTAAAAATAGAAGCAATTTCTGAATGGGGGGAGTGAGCCATTTAGCAGTCTAAGGCAATGAGAACAGATTATAGTTCAATGGGCCAGTGGGTCAACGAACAGGAACTATTAAATTTAAAGCCTTGCTCCTCTAATCACTCCTGTTCTGTCATCTGACTCCAGGAGCTGTTTCTTTTGCTTCCCACTCAGGAGCAGGAAGGGAGATTGGAAAGGGCAGTGGATACAGCCCTCTAATAGGAAAAAGCATCTGCAGCTTTAATAATTGACACAAAAAAAAAGGTATCCTGTCCATTCCAAGGAGGGAGTTTGAATTCTCTTTCTATTGCTGAAAACTATTGCTAAATCACAGGCAATATGTTCCAGACGTCATTCATAACACATGGTCTAGGGATCAGAAAAATCCTTCTGGCCCCATCCAACTTACTGCTGTGTCAGAAAGGCCCTCACTGCTCTCCTTCCACAGAAACAATTCCAGGTGTATCTTGAGTTCATTTCTAGTTCTTGCTTAAGCCACCTGCATTAGTAACTTGTTCCATATGTTTATTATTCTCTGTGTCATGCAGTCCTGCCTGTGTCCTCTATTTACTCCTCATTTCCCCATATCAGGCCAATCCTAAATCATTACTGAGTTCTCACTCCAGTATTGAGAACATCCTGAGGTTCTTAAATCTTGAAGGAATTACATTTATACTCCCTTTAAGGATGGAGCCATGTAAAGGGGCCATATTGTAATGAAAATCAGGCCTTCAAGTCTTTGAATCCTGTTCTCCTTCACGGTTATGGTTGTGTTTGTGAGTTAGGGCTGCGGGATTTAGCCTACTTAGGACTGGCCTTTCTACAGCATTTGTACAACTTTATATCAGTTTAGAAATCAATGTTGTTAAAGTGGTTCAACCCCTTAGTGTGGAAATAGTTCTAGCACTACAAAGATGCTCATATCAGCCTATATAAGTACCCCTACATTTACAGGAATAAGCTGTGCCATGTAAACACTTTTATACTGGTATAACTTCATCTGCACTAGGGAGTTGTACTGCTTTAATGATATCAGTTCCTAAACCAATACAGTTGCTGTTGTACAAATTCTGTGTGTAGACCAGCCTTAGACTGTCCCTAGTTTATGCCCTTTCACTGACCCACACACACACACACTCACTCTCTCTAAAAAAAAAAAAAAGCTTCATTCTCCATTTTTTCCATTGCTTTGGTGATTCTGAAAACCTTTGTTCTTACTGTTTGTGACATATACCTAATGGCCGTCTGCCTCTTTTCTTTTTCTTCCAGTTCTTCATGTTTATTTTGTTAATCTTCCTGGCAGAGCTCTCAGCTGCAATCCTGGCTTTTATCTTCAGAGAACATGTAAGTACTATGTTGTGGACATGATGGAAGCACTCTGAGCCCCTGTGGGGTTTTGCTCAGGTAGAGCTCAGCTTCAGTTGGTGGTTTGTGTGTCTGCTGAGCAAGTGTTTGTTTAGAATATCATCCAACCAGCCATGTTATTACCCTTGGCCTGAAGAATTTCCAGCCAGTGAATATAAACTAACCTAACTTGTGCTAGGTAGCTGGTTTATATACCTAAGAGAGATGCTGTGAGATACATAGGAGAACGGCTGAATTTTTCAGAGTCCAGATTCATGTGCAGGGACATCACTGTATCAGAAGTTACAAATATCCTTAAAAGTTAAAAATATCCTTAGATATTTTTAAGGTCAGGCTTGACAAAGCCCTGGCTGGGATGATTTAGTTGGGGATTGGTCCTGCTTTGAGCAGGGGGTTGGACTAGATGACCTCCTGATATCCCTTCCAACCCTGATATTCTATGATTCTATGATTCTAAGTTCATTTTGAGCCTGGGCATCAAAGTTTGGATTTCACTTCAGAGTTGTACACTTACTACTGAGCTGAGAAGTGACATTTTCCCAGATGCTACCTGGGGGAACAAGTAGAGCCCACAGAGTTGTTAGTCATCTCTTCTCTCCCTGTTGTCACCATCTTGGATTCGACACTCGGGGGGCAAGAGCCCAAATAAACACACCAACTGAAAAGTGTGGGTGAAGCATAGGTGGAGAATTTGGAGTGTGTGGGAGTGTAGTTGAGTGTGGGAGCCCATCAAACTGCATTGTCATTAGCTATCCTAGAATAACGATGCTATTTTAATATTTGTACCATATTTTGTTGTTTTAATTGTGCGGTGCACCTAGTGTGGCAGGTGGGCCCTATGGAATCTAAGTAAACAAATCCCAAATAGAACTAAGTCTGACCCTCAGTTGTAAGAACTGCTGCTGCAGTATATACTCCATCAGTGGGGAGGAGGCTGCCTTTCTTGTGTGCTCGAATGTGTAATCCATGGATTGGAAGGAGGCATATTATCTCTAGCCCTCCTGATCAGAAAGGCAAAGCACCAAGTTGAGGATGGCCTTCAAGGAGTGTTATGAGAATCAGTTAGATAACGTAATTTCATTTCTTATTATATTTCCTATATAAATGTTTCAATATATTTACAAAAGAAGACAGGGAGCTTAGGGTGTATGTAAGGGGACCTTAAATCTAGAAGGTAATCAGATACCATGGTGATCACAGTGGTATAGTATGTGCTTGGAAGAATTTGGATTAATTGAAAACCCAGAATCCTCTCTCTAGGCTTGTGACGGGGTGGGACTCACCACTCTGGCGCCTCCCTGCTGGTTGTCATGGGAATTAGCTCTGCCCACCAGGGTGCCCTCCTCTGGTAGTGCCTCGCCACTGTCACTTTCGTTCCAGGACCCACACTACTCCCAGGACTGCAGCATCCTCCTCAGTGACACTGCCCTCCAGCTGTGCCACACTCTGTGATCTCTCCCCCTGGGGGACTTGTATTCTCCATCCAGCCACTATCTCAGTGGCAATTACAGTTCTTTGTCCCAGGGCCACTTCCCATGTGGCTCCAGCATCCTTTTCTGCCCTTATCTCAGGGCCTCAGCCTGCAGGCCTTGGCAGCCTTCCAGGAGATCTCTCTAGCTCCCCTGGTCCCTGCTTGTAGCACTGAATTGTCCCAGGGGCTGGGTCTCCTTACTCCTGCTAGGAGACTGGTTTTCTCTGCTCAAACTCCAGTCAGCTACTGAACTCTGTTCTGCCCTACAGCCCTTCTTATATGAGCCTGCCATGCCATGATTGGCTACTCCTCTCAGCCCCTTTCTAATTGGCTGCCTATTGTGAATATTCCTTGCGAAAAAAAACTCTAGTTTATCCAGAGAGCTAGTTGCTCATCCCTGTAGAAAGAAGTGACCCATGGAACTACAGCAGCATAGTGACTAGTTAAAGGGGATGCAGCGGCCCGTGGCTGCTATTCATAGGGTCCTTGGGCTGGGACCCAGAGTAGTGGGTTGGATTGGGTCCCCCACCCCCTCACACCCCCCCAAGCCACTAGGGAAGTGGCTTAAGCCCTGAGGAAGGGAGTTGAGAAGGTCCAGAGAAGGGGCTGCATATTGAATTTTGAAACACTCCCAGAAGGAGATCAGATGGTTTAGTGGCCGAGCTGGAGAGCTGGCGTCAGTGAAAGGCCCAGAGTAAATGAAGACAGTGTCTCCAGGGAGGAAGCCCTGTAGGTAGGGCCCCATACCAGGGCTGGGACAATTTAAAGATTGAGCCCAGGAGGGCTACAGAGATAGGGGTACTGAAATAGGCCCCAGCTGGATTGTATGCCCTGGGAGGGGTCTGTTTTGTTTCACATACAGGCTGTGTGTGAGACACTTTGGGGGGGTGGGGGGGCTGAGTCATTGAAAACCCACCTGAGAAACCACCAACGGAGGTCACCGCAGACTCAGAAAGTGCAGGCACACACATCTGGCCAGCAGGCACTCGTGAGAGGTGGGTGCCATCCCATTACAGGATGTCTAATTTAAAACCCTTATGGCAATAAGGGAAGGGAGCTCCGAAAATTATCTTTCATTTTCCATTGTGACTGTAAATACAATGATACATCTGACTGTGTAGCTGCTGCCATTGGGGTGCCCCCTCCACACCCACAAAATGCCTGACCCTGATGAGGAGGAGAAAGAATAGGACTAGAGAGGGTATGTTCAGCAAGATCCTGCAAGCCAATGCTGTATTGGACTGTGAACAAGAGGGCCTGGAGGGTGAATATTGCAGAGAGTATGGAGAAGGAAAGAGCAGACAGAAGAGAGAATCCCAGCAGGAGAGGGAAATGCACCAGGACATAATGAGGCTTCTTTTAGGCAGCAAACACAGATGCTGCAGGCTCTGATTGACTTACAGGTCCAGCAATCATGTGCTTGCCTCCCTTTGTCATGACTGGAGAACTCCGTACTAGCACCTCTCTCTATATCCCCCAACGTTCCACATGGCAATAGGGGCTGCATCCCTACCCCTGCCACGCCAAGCTGGGGGACAGTAAGGGCAACTGCAGCTTCACATACACTGACCTGTGAGAGCCACGGTTGGTGTATGTGTAGCCAAAATGGACTGAAATGGCCAGGAATGTTTTCTACCTTTCTAATTGTAAAGTTCTGTTCCATAAATTTATTTTTTAGAGTTTGTATTGTACTTGTTTTTTAATTGCACATGATTGTTGCACTGTTTCTGGTACACAATACATTTCTATTTTATTTCAATCTTATGAATACATTCATCTTTATTACATCACAACATATACTGCAGAATGCCTGGTGCTACTCAAAGCACCCAGTACTTGTAATTGTACAGGACCACAGAACTCATAAGTTCAGTGAAAAGCACAGTGTAGTAATTATAAATGTACAGCAAGCACCGCATAACTCATAAGTGCATTTAAAGACTGTTATATTCATAAATGTACACGAAGCATTACACAATAACAGCTGCCAAAACTTCAGGGCCAGGTAGGGCACAGTCCACCACACCACATTACTGTGGATGATCATTAAAGTGCTCTTGCAAGGCATCCGTCTGCTGCATAGTTTCACGCTGAGCTCTTCTACTCACCTTTTTGTCTGGCTCTTTAAACTCAGCAGACAGCCATTCCACCTTCACCCCAGCAGCAACTTTCCCCCCTTTATCTACAGATACTGTGTAGGGAACAACCACTGGGATATTTTTCTCACTGAGATTGAATCTTGTGAGTAAACCACACCAGTGTCTCTTCAATCTATCAGAAGCAGATTCAGCTGTCATTCTGCACCCTGCTGAGTGGGTAGTTGAACCTTTCCTTGGTGCTGTCCTGGTGGCCAGTGTATGACTTCACAAGCCTGGAATGCAAGAGGTAGGCGGGGTAGCATTTCAGCATCACAAAATGGCAATCCACCAATCATGAAAGAATATCCCTGCTTGCAGCTTTCCCAAGCAGTCCTCTGTTCCTGATGATGCAAACATCTTGCACTTTCCCTGACCAGCCCACACTGATATCTGTGCAATGTTCCTAATGATTAACCAATGCTTGCATAACTATAGAAAAGTAGCCCTTTCTACTGATGTACTGTAGCAAGCTGGGCAGGTGCGAAAATACGGATGGGTGCGCCGTCTATCACCCTGCCGCACTTCAGGAACCTCATTGCTGCAAATTCATCCACTATGTCCTGCACATTGGCCAAGAGTCACAGTCCTGCATAGCAGGAGACGATTAATAGCCTAAACATTTGCATGACAACGGTCCCCACTGTGGATTTTCCAACTCCAAAATGATTTCCCAGCAACCAGGCATTGCAGGTTTCCACAGTGTGGTCACCACTCGCTTCTCCACTGTCAGTGCAACTCTCAGTCTGGTGTCCATACACTGGAGTGCTAGGGTGAGCTTGGCACATGGATCTAGGAATGTGGCCTGTTGCCTATGAAAGTTCTGCAGCCACTACTCGTTGTCCAAACCCGCATTATGATGCGATCCCACCAGTCACTGCTCATTTCTCAGACCCAGCAGCTATGCTCCATCATCTGCAGCTGTTCCATGAACTCCACCACCATCCTTGAATTGTTGTGGTGGTTTTTTGCTATGTCCTCAGAAAAATAGCCATGCCCCTATTGCTGAGGTTCTTCCTGCAGCTCTGCAAATACTGGAGGATTGTTCATCCTGTGTTTGCAACATTCATGACAATAGTGCTGAGCTGGGTGAGCTTCTTGCTTCTGTCAGATGATGGACAGTGAGAAGTGCCACGCAGGTTTGTGGGATCTTAAAAAAGGTGTGAAAATGATGAGATATGAATGACATGGGATTGAGAAAGTTGCGTTGTTTGGAGCTTGACCCCTTGTGTCCAGTGCCCCTGCACAACTCATTTCTGCCCCCCCATGCATTGCCTAAATTTCTACAAAAGACAGTGTACCATAGGAGATGGATGGCACAATGGGATGCCTACCTGTGGTGCACCATGCTGTGCATCAACACAAGCGCTCCT